ACATTAGCAGTGCTTAGGCAGTAGGTTAGCGTAAGGTTAAAGTCTACTATTAGTATAGCCTATTATATTTAGTAAGAGGTGAGCTTACACTTAATAGCAAAGTACTTAAAAGCTTAGTAGTTAGTAATTACTATAAACAGCTTATCTTATTATAAGCTTATTAACTGCGCTTACTACTTTTATAAGCTTTAGATAACTATAAGCATTTTTTTATTATATATATTATAGTTTATTTATAGCAGGCTTATAGTCTTAGAGTAGAACGCCACAGAGCGCTAGATGCTGTTGTTCTGCAGCTGTAATAGTACTTCTGTAATAACTTTGTTGCTTACATTAGTCTCTATACGCGTCTTGTAATTTAGTAAGTAGTGTGTAAAGATATTATCTAATAGCATAAGGTTCTTAGTGCGCTTAAACACAGCTAACTTATGCTTTTTTAAAGAATGCTAGGCGCTACGCTTAAGCAGCTTTATAAGCAGCTGTATAATGCAACTATAGTTCTTAAGGAAGGCGCAGTAGAAGTTGCAGAACCCTAGGAACAACTGCAGGCTCTTAATTAAGGTTAGTATAGGCTAGTCTTAGACAGCAGCTATCTTAGCAGGGTCCTTGCAGATTCTGTCTATGCTAATAATAAAACCTAAGAATTTTGTTTTAGTAACTGTAAATTTACTCTTTTTAAGGTTAATCTGCAGGCTAGCGTCTTGCAGACAACATAGGACCTTAGCAACGTGTGCCTTATGCTGCAGGGGGTTGTCTAGATAGTCTATAACTAGCCTAAGCTGCTCTAGAGACATGCTGTATAGTAGGCTGCTTAATAAGGTGTTCTCTGCTATTAGCTTAATATTATAGTTAACACTAGGTTAGTGTAGCAGCAGTTTGTCTAAGTCTCTTTTTAAGAAGTAAGCTAGCGTAGCTCTAGCGTACGCAGGGGATAGTAACTTCTAAAGTATTAGCTGTTAGAGCTTATTCTTAGGATTAACTATTATAGGTGCTTAGCAGTTCTTAATTAGTTAATTAACCTTATAGATGCTAATATGTCTAATTACAACATCTCTACGCCTTACATGTAGCATAAACGCAGCAGCGTTAATTACATTTACCTCTAGCCCTACCTTAGCAAGTGCTTTTCTAGAGACAGCTAGTTAATGTTAGTGTGCTTAATTAATGCTAGGGGGTATTAGTTAAGAATTAAGTTACTTTTTTATTTTTTTTAAGTTCTGCTGCTAATTATGCTTCTAAGTTAATTAAGGTTAGTATTAATTAATTTTTAATATCTTTATAAACTTATTTTGTTAGTTAGTGTCTACTTAATAAGATTAGTTAATCTGTAGGAACATGCTACATGTAAAGACAATAATATTATGCTTATAGTCTTATGTTTAATTATTGTCTAGCTACTAAATTAATTATTTTTTATAGTTAATCTAAACACTAGCTTTTTTAAAGACCTTACAGCTTATAATTAAGTTATAATAGCCTATGTTATAAAGAATAAAGAGTGTAGGTAGCTAGTAGCTGTTAATTACTAAATTTATGTAAAAGTACTTGTCTACTTGTCTATTTAGTTAATTATTATATCCTGTAATAAGAATAGACTTAATGCTAAGCATTTTAGGCTGTAGGTGCTTCTAGATTGTCTATAAGTGTTATAGGTAGATTAGATTATAGCTGCTAGCTTCTATGTTAATAAAACTATTTAAGCGTATAGTAATCCCTCTAGTAGAAACGCAGTAGGGCAGCATAAAAAGCTTACTACTAAATAGCAGCTTACGTAGCTTCTGCGCTAGCGCTTTATTTATTAACTTTAAAAAAAAGACTTTTTTTAGAGTAAGTCTTTTTTTAATTTACTGTTTTTACTAAAGCTTATAGTGTCTAGCTTCTGCGCTGCTTCTATAGCCTTACTCTTAGCGTAGGCGTAAGGGCAGTTATAACTTATATATTCTAGCTAATAGCATAAGTAGCAGGTTATAGCATCTTTTATTAAAGCTGCCTATGCTTAGAGTGTTACTAAAGTTATTAAGGCAGTAGTAGTAGCAGCAGGTTAAAGAATGTTTTAACATATAAGCTTCTTTTAACCTCTTTACACGCGTTACACGCTTAACTCTGCAGTAGACCTCTGCAGTAAGAAAGATATCTAGTAAGCTTACTTTATATAATTAAAAAAGCTAACTATTAAGTTGTTATAGTAAGTCTTTATATATACTTTAAGCTAACTTAATAAGGTGTTATAGATCTTATTCTTTTACTACTTAAGTAGCAGCTTAGCTTTATTTATAAAGCATATAAACTAAGCCTTAAAGTCTTTAAAATCTTAAGATAGCTTTATTTTAAGCTAGTAAAGCTTAGTCTTAGCTTTTATTTACTAGTTAGTATTTTAAAGCTTTTTTTTAAAAAGCTTATAATATTTTTAGTTATTACTAGCTTACTTTACTACTTTTATGCTTTAAAGTAAAGAACTAGTTAACCTAGCACTTAACTACTTACTTTACTTTTAGTATAGTATACTTAAGTGTTTTTCTTCTTTATAAAGTTGCTATTTATAGGTATAAAGTAGTTTATATTATAAAGTAGCTTACTTATTAAAAAGTCTTTTTAGTAATTAAATTTAACATTATTTTTGCTTATAAACCTAAGCAGATTCTTTACTTTAGCTAATAGTTTTAGCCTAGCTCCCTAGCTTATAGTACTAATATAAAAGAGGTTAAGTGTTTTTAGTATAGCTAGGTTAAATTGCAGTTACTTTTTTAATATAGTTAGTGTAAGTATACTTTTTAGCGCTTAATAAGCTTTATCTAAGAGAAATAATTAATTACACACTAGCATAGTAGCAGCTTTAAGTCTTTTAACTTTATTTTTATAATTAGCTAAGTATTTAAGAGTTTTATTTAGTAAGCTTTAAAGCTTTTATAGCTTTTTACTAACTTTTACTTACTTAGCTTTTACTATATTAACTACTTTAGTAAGAGTATTAGTGTAGTCTTAATAAGCTTATACTTTTAATAACTACTATAGTAGCTTATTTACTATAACTGTGTAATCTGCAGCTATAAGGTTTAGTAGGTCTAGGCAGAGGCTAATTAAATTATAATTAGTAGTACTTTAAGTAATAGCCTTTGTTTAGAATAATAGTGCTTTCTTAGCTTACTAAGCGCGCGCGTGTGCAGTCTTAATAGTGTAGTTCTCTTTAAACATATTATTAGTGTAGAACTAAGCCTAGCATAGTAGCGTCCTTAGTTTAGGCGTATAGGCGTTACTAGTAGGCTAGGCAGTAGAATTAACACACATTTTAATTCTTAACAGCTTTCCTATTCTAGTGCTTTTAGCTCCTTCCCTCTACTCTAGGGTCTAGCAGTCCGCAGAGGTATAGTGTAGTGTGAGCCCCAGGTCCGGTGACGGTGGGGCTGATAGTTAATTAGTGGTGGGTTTGTACATAGGTTTGTACAGAGCCTGCGGCTCTCTTCGCGTTATTGCAGTGGTAGTCAGTACAGTAGGCCCTCTTCTACAGTTAATTTAAACTAGAGCAGCAGCGCTCTTAGCTTAGAGCTCTTTAATAAAGTGTAATAATCTAATTATTACTTAGTGTTGCTTTTACAGTTACCTAGCCTAACTAGGGCTTTAAAGCAGATAGCTATTGTTAATAAACTAAGGCTTAGCCTAGTTGTACTAGCAGATCTGTCTAAGTAAGGGTTAGTTAGCAGATTAAGCTTTTAGAGCTAACTATATAGTAGACCTAGATATTATATTGCTATTCTCTAGCTAAATAAGATAATTTTAGTATAATATAATAATAAGCACTGTCTCTACTACTATATAAAGCTAGGGAAGTAAGGCAGAGTAGGTTAGCTCTATTTTAGCTACACTAAGATAGAGAGGAGAAAGAGAGCTTTAAGGGCAGCTCTGCAGAAGAAGTGCTTGCGGCGCTAAGGCGCTAGCAAGGACGCTAGCGCTAAGCAAACTAATAGCGTTGCGCTAGTCGCACCCCCTATATCCTGATTGGCTGCACGGGCAGCTCGTCATGTGACGCGCGACAGAGCTCTCTGCGTAGGACCGTCACAGTAAGCAACTTGCTTATAAAGTATGTTATTAGTAAAGAAATCTTTATAACTTCTACTACTAAAACTTTTTAAAAAGAACTTAAAGAACCTACAACTATTCTTTATATATCTAGACTAATAGAAGAGAGGGCTTGGCGGTGGAGATAGTGTAATATTTGATGATATCCTGTCGCTATTGACTAGGTCAAGCAATTGTAGCTACAGCGTCGCCTCTTTAAAGATACAATGAACAAGAGTTGGAACGCCGAAGAAAGAGATAGCGGGTACGGAGGGATACGGTCCGTCCGGCGAAGCATGTGGACGCCGGACGAGGCGGGTGGAAGCAGCGAGATGCTTGGTGGTACCTCCAGGCCTGGACACTAATTTCCATCAGATTTCCACCGTCAGGAGTGTTTAAAGCGAGCAATTAGTCTTAGGCGTTGCGTTAGAGGGTTGTTATGTGAGGCAGACAGCTGTGGGCAGGCTTAAAGCAATAATTGTGGGTCTTAGCATTAGGGTTAGTTAACAACAACGCGATATTTAATTATTACAGATAAACGCCTAAGGACAACGGCCTTTGTAAAGACGCTGAAAGCACTCTGGAATGTTTTAATGCCTGGGAGAATTGCATCGAAGCGGACCGCAACCCCTGGACGCTCTACAATCACGCGGTGATGTCATACATCGTGACTGTTTATCTTTCACCTGTGCTACCTTCAGCGCACAGCCTAGCAAACGCCCGCCCGCGCCTTGTTTAATTTGCCCTAGCAACGCGTTGGCTACAAATCTCTGCCCTGCCCTAGTCCTTATAATAAAATCCTTGCTGCTCTACTTAAAAGCTTCCTCTACTATAAACTCTTAGTCCACACTCTTTCTGCCTCCACCTACACACCTGCGACGCGACCTCTAAGCTTAGATTGTAACTAATTACCACCTTAAACCCCTTATTAAAACCTTAACGTTAAGATGGTCTCCTTTAAGCTCACCGCCCTCGCCGCGGCCGCCATCCTCTTCGCCGCCTGCCCCGTCGCAGCCCAGGCCCCCACCACGGCGTCTCCTCCCCCAGGAGCTCCAACATGCGCCACTGGTCAGGTTGTCTGCCGCACCATCTGCTGCGGCAGCGAGACTCCCGCCTGCAAGAGGCTCGAGAACAACCAATTTACCTGCGAGAAGGGCCTGGTGACCAGCGCTGTCGTCTCTGTCACCACCGAGACGCAGCCGGCTAGTACTGTTACTACCGGTATGCCCACCGTCCACACGTCTACTCCAACCTCGTCTGACGCTACCACAGTTACCTCCACGGTTGTGCAGAACGAGACCGCCCCGGTCACCACGCAGACTTAAGAGGTCACTTCTATGGCTAACAGCACTAAGACTGCCAAGTCTTGTATGAGCTAAGGAGGGGTTATATAAGAAGCGAGTTAACAAGGTAGTGAGATCTAAACAAAGTGGATTAAACAAGTGTATTGTAAGGTGTGAGGAGCTATGCCTAATGAGTGAATAGCGCAGTACATGGGTATGATATCGCGTGAGACACGTGCGACACCAAGCCCTCCGCCAGCAAGACTGGTGGCGCCGCCAACGTCAAGGGCAGTGGCTTCTTCGCTGCTGCGCTGGGCGTGGTAGTCGCTGCGGGTTTCTTTACTCTTCTCTGATTGGTCGGTATGCCCTAGGAAACACGGTGCGCAGGGACTTCTTGGTCGCTGATGCAGCGCGTTGCCGGATGGGTTGATGATAACAACAGATACTTTACTTATTTTTTTTCACGGTTCTCGATGCATGGATGGTGCTGGTGGGCTTTCTGCTAGCGATGATTATGGGTCGGATTCGGATATGGATTGGTGTCTAATGGTGATGACGGGCCGGAAATCTGGTGTGGTTGGTTAGTACGGCAGATCAAAAGCTGAGAGGTAGATGTACTGGCTCTAGTTATGGACCTAACATAAGTCTTTCTTGATAACTTACGTTTTGCTTGTGTAATGGTCTTGTCGCCTGTGCCTCCCTGCACTCAGCCCTTGACTCCTACTCCCCTTCTTCCACCTAAGCGTACGCGAGAGCCATGTTGTGTCCACCCTCACGCCCGCTTTGTGTCTCGCTCGATCTAACGACTACAATCGTACCCTCAGAATGGCGCGTGGTGCTGTTGGCTCCCCTACCTGCGTCACTGCCGGCCTGGATAATGATGCGACACACGATGGCGGAGCTGATGAGGAAAGCAAGGACGATGAGCGCAACGCCCACCGCCCAACCTATAGTTGCTCCTTTAGCCATTGGTAAAAGCTAGCAACTAACTGACAAGTCGAGCACTGTGGGACCTAAGGGGCGGGGCAAGCCTCAGTATGATCTTTATATCGGTCTATGCAGCGGAGTGCTCAGCCACGCATTGATAGAAAGTCTGGGCATGAGAGAGGGCGTGCGAGTAGCGCAGAAAGGCATTGGTGGGGCACTCTCGTATCTGTTATATGCATTAATCGGTGGATCCTTGGCGCGTCATCGGCAAATTCCCTCCGCCCCCCCCCAAATTTTGCAGTAACCACCGAATTTGCCAATGAAGCATCAGCAACCAACGATACCTGCTTATATAGTGAGTATATACGTGAAGCTATACAGTCCTATGCAAAAGGTGTATCGTAACAATTCTTTGGTGTAGTAGTTAGTCAGTTCCCACATGTATCGCGCCTATAGAGTCTCTGCTCGCCCACCTTATTAACCACCTTGTTAACTACCTAGTCCCTAATTTTTAAATTATAGTCTCTTATAGCGTACACGCCTTAATATATATTAATTTACGCTACTTAGGTAGCATCTTTAAGTAATTACAGAGTGTAAGAGCTGTAGTAGATAAGCTGTAAACAACATACTATTAAATCTATAAGATTACAGCTGCGTTTAACGCCTAGTTTAAGGCGTGCTAGGGCAGCCTGTGAAGATTAGTAAGGCAGACAGGCAGGCTCTTTCTAATAAGCTTGTGCGGAGTAGGTGGATGTACTAGGACAAGATTGTACGCTAGCTTAAGGTAGAGAGAGGTGTGTTTGTAAACTAGTCTATAGTTTTATAATACTTTAATTAAATAAATTAAAACTGTTACATATTACAGCCTTTTTTAATTAATTATAATAAAGATTTACGCTAAGCATATTACATTAAAATAGAGTAGTTTATAGCTAAAGATTTAGTATTTCTAGATAAGTTAATATTTAACAAGAAGACTAAGTAGAGGCACTACGCGTACAGCTGTTACAATCCTTGCTTTGTAGAAGCACACAGGTTAATGTTATCCCTAGGGCAGGGCGGAATGTAAGGGGCCGACGGTAGGGTGTACAGTCCTACGTAATGGCTAATGGGCTAATGGAGTAGCGTGTTACAGTCTATGGTTGGACCGACGTAACTCCACCCGAAGTACTCCACAATCTAGCTAGGTTGGGGCAGAGCTCGTTTATAGACCAACCGGAAGACGCGGAGGCAGCACGGCTGCCTATGGCTACAGAAGAATGCATTGTCTAGTAGGAAGGCAGGCTAAGGTGTGGAAACAAGTTAAATAAGTTAGACAAGTTGCTCTAGGCAAACTTATCTAAACTTGTCTAACTTGTTCTTAGCACTATTAGACATGTATATAGTTCTAACTTTAAATAACTTTTAAGAGGTGTGTTTAATGTTTAGTTTATTCTTTATATAGACTAAGTAGCATTTAGCTTTATAAAGAGCTGCAATACTATCTATATATTTTACAACATATATACCTCTAATTCTGTCTAACAGAACTGTTTAACCTAGCTACTATACTGCTGCGATAGGGACAAACTATAATCTAGTTACTCTCCTCTACTCTATTAGCCTATTAGCTATTATGTAGGACTGTACACCCTACTGTTAGCCCCTAGACTCTGTCCTACCACCCTAGAAACAACATTAACCTAAGTGCTTCCTAAAGCAAGGATTATAACATTAAATACTACACCTTTTAAAAAGTATAACTATTTAACATAACCTTAATTCTAACATAGCCTATGTAGCTTTATAAGGATTACAGGAAGTTCTAATAGCTAATAAAAGAGTTTTAGTAGAACAAATTAACAGTATCTAGGACAACATTAAGAAACTTTAATAAATTAGTAATAAAATTAATAAGCTTGTTAGTCTTTATAAAGAAGTAAAAAATTTACACTAAATAGTAGCTAAATTTAATAACTAACTTACACTAATAAGCCTTTAATTAGCTATAAGCTTTGTAAACTAGATACACACACTATAGGTAAAGTTAGCTAAACTCTAGAATATATTAACTAAAAAAGTAAGCATTATAGCTAAGAAGACTTTGCAACTAGCCCTTTTAAAGCCTTTTAAAGAATTACCTAAGAACCTTTACCTCTTTTTTACTAAATGCTACCTCTATATGCAATACAACAGAGGAGCATTCTAAACTAATGCAGAAATAATATCCTAGATAGGACTATATTTAGAAGAACCCTCTATAATTTAGTTCTAGCTACACGCAGACAACTAGATAAACTTTAGAGCTAATAGCTCTACACTAAATCCTAAGACTAAAGAAATATTTAGTAGTATAGAAGCTTTTAAAAAAGCTCTAACAGCTATCTATAAAACTATAAACAAATAAAAGATTACAGCTAACAAATTAGACACTCTAAAATAAGAAAAAAAAACAGCCTAGTACTACACAGCATGTTTTAGAGAGCAGCTAGCTATCTATAAATAGACAGACTAAAAAGCTCTTTACTAAATGTTCTATAATAGTTTAAAAGACATAATAAAAAATAAATTTACATATAATAAAAAACTAACTACTTTTAAAAATTTTATTATAATAGCAACACTCTATAATAATACGCATAGAGAATGTAAAAAAGAAAAATAGCATAGATGTTAAATAGGCTCTAACAGCTAGCTGCTTATAGTATAAGCACTTAAGTAGCAAGAGTAAGAGTGGTGTACAGTGTGCATAGTATATAAGGTAGGTAAGGTAAGGGCAACATGTTTCTAGTTCTATTACTCTTGTCTTTCCTTTGTACAGAGAAAAAGAGGGATATCTAGATATTTACGCACAGAGGTTCACGCACAAGCATTATGTGACATAGATACGTGATCCTGCTTATGCGCAATTGTTTATATCTAGGCTGCAACGCTGCTGCTGTGTACAGACACTAGCAACTTTTCTTTTTATCTAAAGAGTTACCTTCTGTACATGTTACCTCTTTTCTGTCTATGTAGGTCTATCTAATTATGTTCTACCTTTACTCTACTTTATTTATTAGGACTTGCCTTAGTAATGCTGTGTGTTAGAATAGGCTAGTTATGCTATATAAATAGCTTTTTTTTTTTTTATCCTTTACTTTCTAAGCTCTACTGTATAATCCCCTAGCTCTTTTTTTTTTTATATAGTGCTAACAGTAACAGATCCTTATAATAAGAAAGATAAGTATATATAATATAAAAAAAACAAAATAAAAGGAAATAAGCCTTATATAAAGGTGTTGTTAGTCTAGTTAGTCTAAGGCATCTTTGCACACAGGATCTAGCTAGTCTATAGATGCTTCTATCTAGACAGAGAGGCAGTTAGTTAGGACTAATAATTAAAAAGCCTAGTTTAGTGTTTTTTTTATATATACATTTACTAAGTTATTTTTACTATTAATTTACTTTATCTTAGTAATTTTCTTTTTCTTATATAATTTACAGAGTAATATAATGTTAATTATAAGTTACTTTTTACTAGTAGTGCTTAGCTTAATAAAGTAATTATATAAAAACTTTAAATCTATGCAGATTACTACTAAAATTAGTAGTAGTTTAAGTGTTTATATAATTTACTATAGAGTTGTACTAAGAGTAATTACATTATTAAACTTTTTAACTATTCTATATAGTTTACTAGTAAAGACACTCTTAGTTACTTTTTTACACTTAGTAGAATTCTAGTGTATAATGTTGCCTAGTATTTTAAAGTAGTTGCTTTACTTTATATAGTCTTTATTACTTAATATAATTAAAAATTCTAGCTATAAGCTAAAGTTTTTATTATTAGTAAATAATCTATTTATAAAAATAAACAGCTTTACATAATTAAGCTATAATAGTAAAAAAGTAAGACTACACTTACTATTATTTATCTACTATTAGATTTATGTGTTAAGTGTGTTAATATTGTTATACAAAGGGTCTATAGTTTATATAGTAATAGAGAGGTTAAATGCTGCCTCTAGTTAACACATAAATGTAATATATGCCCCTTTTGCATGTTACTTAACATATTATTATGCAGCATCTTTATTCTCTAAGTTAATTATATAAAGGTAGCTTACTTATCTTTTTTAAGTAAAAACTACTATGTTATGTGTAAGCTTAATTTTTTTACTATTAAACTTAATAAGTTGCTTCTTTACTAGAATAGTTTTACCTTTTATATAAAACTTTACTTTTTATAGTTTTTTTTTTTCTTTTTATGTAAAATTTTTTATTATAATGCTTAAAGTGTTATCTGTCTATAAGCTAGTAATACTAAAAGTATGCTTTTTTTTATTAGTAATTAAAAAGTAAGAGTTGTATAAAAAAATGTGCATGCGCAGCTTTTTTTTATAGTAGTTATAGTATGTTTTAAACTAATACAGTTTTAATTTAGTAGCTCTATATAAAAGTTATATAACCTAGAGTATTATATTTAGTAAAAAGCTCTAGCGCATCTTCTTTAGTAGCTTTATATATAGTGTGCGCATAAGCTTATCTATTAATTAGATGTATACTTATATAATATTACATAGTTTAAAATGCATTTTATACATAGCTTTTAGGCTTACTTTTATAGCTAAAAGTAGTCTCTAGCTTATTCTCTAAATAGTTAGTAACTAGGTAAGAATTTTTTCTTTCTTTTTATCTAAGTAGCTAGCAAACACTAGGCAGAATTTCTTATATAGTTAAGTTATTTTACCTTTTACTTTTTATATAAGGTAAAGGTTAAAAATCTAACTTTTATACTTTATTAAGTTATACACTATAACTTTAAAAGTGCTATTAGTAATTAAAGTGTCTATCTCTATGCAGTCTAATTTTTTAAATAGTTTTTTAAGTATAGTAATTACACTATCTATATAGAGCTTAATAGATAAGGCCTAATTATTTTTTTCTTTTTAGGTTAGAAATACCTAGTCTAGACTTGTTGTAGGTTTTCTTTACCTTTTACTTTTTCTAGTATTTATATCTTCTCTTTACACTAGTGCGGCATTGCTATTCTAAGAGGCTTAGTCTATAGTAGGCTTTAGTTCTGCCTTTGTAATATTTTTATAAGGCTGTTCTTTCTTCCTCTTCTTTAAGAGATTCTTTTATATAGAGATTAGTTTATCTAAGTTATTTATTATAAGTAAGCTATCTTTTTTTTTTTTTTATAGTATAGTTTAACCTGTGTATATTAAAGCTTTAGTAGGCTATTTTTTTTTTAATAATAATATCTCTTCTTTTAATGCTTTTAATCTTATATAGGCTAGTCTAGCCTTTTTTCTCTCTCTATGCTATAATTTTTAAGCTAAGAGGGAGGTTAAGAACTTTATATGTTATAGGGCTATTATAAGTGTTAATTATATAATTAATGTTTACTTTTACATAGTTTTTTTAAAGTATCTTTATTACTTTTTATATAGTGCTTACTTGTGTAATAATGTCTAGTAATAGTAGAG